CAGTTCTGCTGAACTTCTGGTTCCCGTCTTCCTCCAGTTCTGCTGAATTCTCGATGGCGACTCCAAACTGACAGATTTGTGGACGTTCCTCTGGTCCGTGCTTCAGCTGTTCTCCAGGGTCAAATCCAACCTGCCAGTGAGATCCAGGAGCTCACAAAGCATACGAGTCTGAGCACGAAGCATGAATTAATCCGTCACATGAAGTTGGCAGCTTTACCACGTCCGAAACCGCTGCCGACGTCCTTCTAATTCATCGATATCCGTTATCTTAAATCCAATTATGTACACGTGTTATCCATGACGTACCCAGCTGCGTGCATCCGTCCAGGCATGAGGGCTCTCCAACACTGTCTCTTGAAATTTTTTATCAATTGCGTTGAGACCAGCTGACCAGAGCCAACATAATAATTTACGATTCAGAAGATGTGTAAAGAGAAGCTCCGATACACAAAGAGCAAAAGCACGAGAGGGAAGAAAAGTGTCCGTCTTGTTCGAGGACACGTGAGAAAAAAAAACATGACTTCACTGTCAGAAGAGAAGGTTGGGCTTTTGAACCCTGCTCCAATGCTGCGAGCCTTGCTGCCCTTCCACTTGGTCTCATGGACACATAAAACATCTACCTTCCTTCTCAGCATCATGTCAGCCAGCTCTCTACCTTTGCCTGTCATTGTCCCCACATTTAGAGCTTCAACCCTCAGTCCTACATTCTTCATGTTCCTCTTCTCCTTTTGTCTCCTGACACGTTTCCCTCCTCGTGATCTTCCACTAACAGGAGCCTACAGGGGGAACATGTGAGAATAAATTAAGGGGTACGCATGGGGGAGCAAACAAGGAACTAATGGGGTGAATATGATGAACGATAGGAATAGACAGAGGACCATATGGGGGTCCTTATAGGAGAATGTCCGAGGGTCTTTACAACGGTACAAACAGAGTTCCAGGTCTTTGTGTGGTCACACAGGTTCTCTGTACCCAACACTGGTTGTGACTTCAGAATTTCAAGGCTTCCTATGAATTATTCCTGTTGGTTTGGTCCTGAACCTGTCCTGCAGTTCTTTCATCAGATGTTTATCTGGTTTCTGGTCTGTCTTGTAGGAGGAGACCCTGCATCGCTGCAGGGAGGATGAGGAGAAGAGGAAGGAGATCACCTGTCACTTCCAGGACATGCTGACGGAGATCCAGGCCCAGATCGAGCTGCACAGTGCTCGCAACGACAAACTGTGCCGAGAAAACTCCAACCTGACCGACAAGCTGGAGAGCCTGATGAGTCAGTATGAGAAGAGGGAGGAGGTGAGGAAGACCAGGAGGAAGAGCTGCATGCCTCAAAACATAATCCTCCTTCTGAGGAGGCAAACGGTCAGGAACCGAGGGTCCAGCGTCCACAGAACATAACCCTTGGTTTGTCCGTGTCCCCGCAGAGTCTGGAGAAGATCAACAAGCACCAGGACCTCCAACACAAACTGACCGAAGCCAAGCTGCAGCAGGCCAACGCTCTGCTGGCCGAGGCCGAGGACAAACACAAACGGGAGAAAGAATACGTGAGTGGAAACATCTCGTCTGAGTCTCGCACCAAGAGTCTTCCATGTTGGTTCCAGGACTTCCCTCAGAAAACTTTGTCAAGTCATATTTATTTATAGAGCAGAATTTAAAACAGATAGACTGTTATCAAAGTGCTTAACACTAATGGTAACACTAAGATTTAGTGTGATTTAGTGTTAACATAATTAAATGTTTTAGCATCAGACTCTGCAGCTTTTTATTCAGTTTTTGAACTAAATGTTTTGTCTTTTGAAAAAAAGGTCCTGGATCAGTTTTAGGTTACCCCCAGTGGTTTCCATGAAGAGGCTTTTGTTAACCTGGACTTTAGGGTTGAGGTTAACTAATCTGAGTTCAGGAAAACCGTGTATCTGTACATGTAAACAAAGATGTGTCACCATGGCAACAGACTCTGAAGTGAAGCGTTTACTGACACTAACCTTCTACCAGTCTTATCCAGTCTTCTCTCCAACCTACATCGTTTCTCCTGAATCGGAGGTTGGACCATCGACCGGACTCTCTTCTGCAGAACGTCCGAACAGACCGGGGAGTCTAATGATTGCATCACACCCTCCAGCCTCACTTGGTCCAGTGGCGCTGCCCCCGATGTCCACGAGATGTTGTAAAGGCATATCAACCAAGACAGTCCAGCAACATCCAGAGCCTTGAGGAACTCAAGGATCCCTCCCACCATGGAGCTTTATAACTACCTCGGTGACCTCAGCCACGGTTATGGACGGAGCAACCCCAAAGTCCCCAGACTCAGCTTCCTCCATGGAAGACGTGCTGGTGGAACTGAGAAGGTCCAAGAAGTATTTCTTCCACCTCTCGACGACATCACTGGTTGAGGTCAACAGCCCCTACCTTCACTGAACAGTGTTAGAAAAGAGCTGCTTCTCCTCCTCAGCCTGATGGTTTGTCAGAATCTCCTCGGAGCGGACCGAGAGTCTTTATCCAGGGTCTCACTGAACTCCTCCCACATCAGAGCTTTTGCCTCAGCAACAGTCAAGGCTGTGGACCTCTTGGACCTCTGATACTCCTCAGCTGCCTCCAGAGTCCCACCGACCAACAAGGACCGATAGGACTCCTTCTTCAGCTTGACAGTCTCCCTAACCCGGGGTGTCCACCACCGAGTTCGATGATGGCCACCACGAGAAGCACCAACAACCTTGCAGCCACAGCTCATGGCAACTACCTCAACAACTGAGTCGTGGAACATGGTCCACTCAGACTCAGTGTCCCCGCCTCAGCTGGGATGCAGTTAAATCTCTCCTGGAGGTGGGAGCTGAAGATCTTTCTGACGGGTTCTTCTGCCAGGTGTTCCAAGCAAACCCTCACTACATGTATGGGTCTACCGGGTCTGTCCAGCATCTTCCCCACCATCTGACCAACTCACTACAGGTGGTGATCAGTTGACCTCTCAGCTCCTCTCTTCACCTGAGAGTCCAAAACAAACGGCCGCAAATCAGATGACACAACTACAAAGTCAATCATTGATCTATGACCTAGGTCCATCTGGTGCCACGTGCACTTATGGACACCCTGATGTTCTAACATGGTGTTCGTGATGGACAAACTGGGACTAGACAGAAGTCCAACAACAGCTTAAGTTCAGATCAGAGGCTGTTCCTCCCAGTCAAGCCCCTCCAGGTCACACCGTCATTACCCACATGGACATTGAAGTCCCCCACCAGAATGAAGGAGTCCCCAGTTGGAGCACCTTCCAGCACCACCGCCAAGGACTCCAAGGTCATATACTCTGAACTGCCTTTTGGCTCATAGGCACATCAACAGTCAGAGCCTGTCCCCTCTCCTGAAGGTGCAGGGAAGCCCCCCCTCTCATCTACCGGTGAAAACTCCATCACACATGCACCAAGTCGGGGGGCTACAAGTAGACCCACACCAGGTGGGTGCCTCTCACCATGGACAACAGACCTTGTGCTGCAAGACGAGCCCAACTCCAGCCGGTCGGTGCCGCTCAGCCTCAGCCGTTCAGAACTCCACTGAGAATTTTCAGCACGTTCTCAACTCCAGGTGAACGCAGAGCTGATGAACCGGTTCCTCCTCTGGACTGGAGTGACTCAGAGTTCAAGGATCAACAGTTTGTTGACGTCTGTTTCTGGATCACCCTCAGAACCAGAACTGTACTTTCATATTTATAAGAACTAAAAACACGGGTTTTGTTGCCTTTAGTTTCTGGTGTTTGTTCACCGACATCAGTTCATGACAAGTTGTTGAACTCATGAATCATTTGTTCTGTTGAGATTCATCTTGGTTTCTGTTCCTCTGTGTTTTTCTCTGAAACCACTGAAACTCCAGATTGTGTGTTTTAAACTGGTTACCGCGAGGCAGCGGCTCTGGTTCCGAGCGAGGCCCATTGACTGTGTGTTGTCTCTGTTAGCTGCTTAGGGAGGCTATTGACAAAACAAAGAAATGCTTCGCTATGAAGGAGCAGGAGCTGTCCATGAAGAAGAAGGTAAAGACCCGAGTGTAACGTCTCTGTTCTCTTCTGATCAGTTACTGGTTCAGGCTGCTGAGTGGAAGCTGCAGGCTAAGACACTCACACAGCAGGCGACTGTCATGCAGGCACAGGTGAATACTCGCCGAGCGCCAGGTACAGCTCACCTGGGAGCACCAACAGAACCACCGGACACCACAACGCCACACTTACCCGACGCAATGAACACCAGCTGCATTTCGGCTGATTGTGTTTACGCTCAGTCACATTTTTATGTTCTCTGACACCGACAGCCGAGAGATGTTTGATTTGTAGCCGAGTGCTGACGTAAACAGCCAAAACTGTAATAACACCAGCTTAAACTGTAACAACAGCCAAAACTGTAATAAAAACAGCTTGAACTGTAACAACAGCCAAAACTGTAATAAAACCAGCTTAAACTGTAA